ACCTCGGGCCCAAACCTGGCGGGCGCGATCTTGGAAAATCACGGCCGCAGCGCTCCCTCGAGAACCGAGAACGGACAACTCCCTGATCGACGTGTCAGGGTGGGGGGGCTCTCTGTCCACCCCCGACTCTTGCGTGGGCCTGCAGTCGGGGCCCTGAAGAAGGAACCCGGGGGGCCGTCTGTTTCGAATGCGAGGCCGGGCGCTGCAACCGAAGTTTAAGTTATGGAAAAAAGGGGCCTCGTTCCTTATTTAGGGTTCCTTAGGTCAACGCCCCGACTGTACAGGCGAGCCAGGACGCTTCGCCACTGCCCGCAGGCCGCCGGGAGGAGGGCCGCGCTCCGCCCGAGGGGGCGGCCGCGGAGCGGAGGCGGCGGAGAGAGAGGCCGCCTATACCGCCTCGCGGGCCCCGTCTCCGGGCGAGCAGCGACGCGAGCGACGACGGACACGAGCAGAGAGGACCCGTGGCCAGGGGACATACATAAGGTTTTTGTCGGAGGTTGGGGGGTGAGATCGAAGTGGAACGGAGAGCCCCCCTACCGGGAGATCGATTTCGGTTTCGTGTTCGTGCGTGCCGTGCGGGCGAGGCGAAGCTGCGTGGGCGGGCGAGAGAAAGTCTCCTGTGGCTGAGGCGCGGCCGGACCAAATGATTCCCTTCTGGGCGGCCGGGGCCCCGCGGTGTCCCCCGGTGTCCCGCTGGTGTTCCGTGTGGCTGAGGCGCGGCCGGACCAAATGATTCCCTTCCGGGCGGCTGGGGCCCCGCGGTGTCCCGCCGGTGTCCCGCGGTGTCCCGCGGTGTCCCGCGGTGTCCCGCGGTGTCCCGCGGTGTCCCGACGGTGTCCCGCGGTGTCCCGCGAGGATGATGATGATGATGATGATGATGATGATGATGATGATGATGATGATGATGATGAGATGATGATGATGATGATGATGATGATGATGGTGGTGGTGGTGGTGATGATGATGATGATGATGACGATGAGATGATGATGATGGTGTCCCGATGAAGATGATGGTGATGTTGATGATGGTGTCGATGATGATAGTGTCCCGATGATGAGGATGATGATGCTCATGATGATTATGTTGATGATGATGACGATGATGGTGTCCCGAGGATGATGATGATGATGATGATGACTCCGATGATGTTGGTGATGATGATGTTGATGGAAATGGTGTCCCGGCGATAATGATGTTGATGATGATGTTGATGACGATTATGGTGTCCCGATGATGATGCTGATGATGATGGTGATGATGATGATGGTGATGCTGATGGTGTCCCGGTGATGATAATAATGATAATGACGATGTTGATGATGATGTTGCTCATGATGATGATGGTGCCCCAATGATGATGATGATGTGGTTGATGATGATGTCGATGATGATGATGCGATGATCATGATGATGATGGTGTCCCGAGGATGATGGCGATGTTGATGATAATGTTGATGATGAGAACGATGGTGATCACGATGGTGTCCCGATTATGATGATGATTATGATGATGTTGCTGATGATGATGATGATGACGATGAATGTGTCCCGATGATGATGATGATGATGATGTTGATGATGAGATGATGATGGTGATGATGATGTTGTCCTGATGATGATGCTGACGTTGATGATGATGTTTATGATGATGATGATGATGATGATGATGATGACGGTGCCCTCATGATGATGAAGATGTTGGTGATGCTGTTGATGTTGATGATGTTGATGACGATGATGATGATGATGATGATGATGATGACGTTGATTGTGACAGCGATTGTGATATCGATAGTGAGATCGATGTTGAGACCGAATGTGAGATCGATTGTGTGATCGGTTGTGAGATCGATTGTGAGATCAATTGTGAGATCGATCGAATGAGATAGATCGAGTGAGATCGATTGTGAGATCGATCGAGTAAGATCGATCGAACGAGACCGATAGTGAGATCGATACTGAGATCGATAGTGAGACCGATCGAGTGAGACGTTGGTTCCCCCCCCCGAACCTCCTTATCACCCGAAGGGTGGTCGTATAGGTATTGAGTATGTTAGACGCTCTAAATTCGATCATTATTTACCCATGATGAGAGTAATAGTGTGGTAACGACAGACAAAACAATGTGACACGACGACTTCCAAAACTTGGGCCTGGTTTCCACCACCACCACCATCGTAAGTTGGAGGGGGGGAGGAGGTGGAGGACGAGGAAGAGGAGGAGGACGAAGAGGAGGAGGAGGAGGAGGACGACGACGAAGAGGAGGAGGAGGAGGAGGACCCCCTTCCCCTCCAACTTATGGTGGTGGCGGTGGACAACAAGCCTATCAAAGGAGGGGGCGAGGACCAGGTGACCTTCGCAGGGGTCGCGGGAGAGGCCGCGGGCGAGGAGCGAGCGAACGAAGCGAAACTCGGGGGCCACGAGCTCCACAGAGGGCACGGCTGCGCAGGAGAGTGCAGGGCTCTGGGCTGCGGTCGAGCGGTCGAGCGTGCACGAGCGTCCGCGCTCCAACGCGCTCCAAGGGAGCGTCTTTGAAGGGGCCCTGGGACACACAAGTCCGCCGGCCCCCCTGTGGGGCCACCAGGCTGTAGGCCGAAGGTTCGCAGTGTCCTGCACCAGTTGCAGCTTCCAGCCTCCACTGTTACAGTTCTGTTTCTTGCTGCTGACTGTTCCTTGTTGATGGACCGCGCGAGAGGGGGGGAGGCCCAAACGGGCAGGTTTAGCACGCCCTGAGCGTGTGCTCTAAATTGCTGGGGTGGGTAAAAATTGACATCCCTCACGCAGATCGGCGGGGTCAGGGTCCAAAAGCACATAGGATTTGCCACATTTCTGAAATTCGGTAGCACCCCTCACGCGGATCGGCGGGGTCAGGGTCCAAAAACACAACGGATTTGCTACATTTCTGACATTTGCTGGCACCCTTCACGCAGATCGGCGGGGTCAGGGTCCAAAAACATATAGGATGTGCTACATTTCTGACATCCGGTGGCACCCCTCATGGGATTTGCCACATTTCTAAATTCGGTGGCACCCCTTACGCAGATCGGCGGGGTCAGGGTCCAAAAACACTTAGGACTTGCCACATTTCTGAAATTCGGCAACACACCCTCACGCAGATCGGCGGGGTCAGGGTCCAACAACACATTGGATTGGCCACATTCCTGAAATTCGGTTGCGCCCCTCACGCAAATCGGCAGAGCCAGGGTCGAAAAGCAAACAGGTCCCGGCACTGCTTCACGGCGGCGCCCGGACCTCATGATTTAGCTTTTGCATCTCCCATTATCCGAGGAAGGGGGCCGGCGGCATGGGGCGAAGCCCTTACGGATCAATACACACAAATAACCGGATGCCCCATAGCTTCCTATAGTTTGGGGGGTTTTGTCTTCCCCCCCGTTTCCCAAATTTTCGTATATGTTCCGGGGGATCGACGATTCATTGTGTCTCTGTGTGTGCTGTGTCCCCTCTTGATTGTTGTTCGGCATGGGGCGGAAGGGGGGGAGGGGGGGGGGTCTGGCTCTGGACCTCTGCTCGGGCTGCTTGCAGCAGGTGTGTCCCGCGTGGGAGGGGCTCCACCTGCTCGAAACAGCCGCCCAAAAAAAGCCAGGGTCTACTCCATGGGGGGGGAGGGGGGCGGGTGCGAAGGCCCGCGCCGATCGGCAAAACAAGGAACAAGAAAACGATCACCAGCGGAAGCGAACCGCGTGCGTGTAAATCTGTTGTTGGCCTCCGAGTCTCGCCCGCCTCGCCAACGCTCGGGCGCCCCACTCCTCCTGCGTTGCTTCGGTCTCGTGTGTGATCGTTTGGCGCGAGTGTCGAGGATGCTCTTCGATAGACCTCGCCGAGAAAACATGCACACGTCCGAGCGGTGCCAAGCCGGCTTCGAGTAGGGGATCGTCAACAGAAATGGTTTACCCCAAACTTGATTGGTTCGTCGAAGCTTAGGTTCGGCAATAGTGACTACAGGCGGTCCACCGCCATATCGGGCGAAGAAACTCAAACTCAAAACAAACATCTCGAAGCCAAAACCTGCGGAAATCTCAAACTTCGAAAAAAACAAACAAACCAAAAAGAACTCTAAACCAAAACCCGCGAAATCTCAAACTCTTAAACAATCAAACAATATCTAAGCCAAAACCTGTGAAAATTCCAAACTCAAAAAAAACTGTATCAAACATATCAAAACCAAAACCTGCGAACCTTTCAAATTCTAAGAAATCTTCAAAACATATCTGAACCAAAACCTACGAATAATTCAAACTCTGCAAAAACTTACCGGAACTCTAAAACAACTCAACCAACAAATAAAGAAAACTCGGATACAATATTACAACACTCTAAACGCCTAAAAACTTCAACACAACTAACTCTAAAGAAACTCTAAACGCCTAAACACTCTAAAAGAACTGATACAACACACTAAACAAACATTTGGGGAACCTCGTTTTGAATAATACAGCGAAAAACTCTGAATAAATGTCTGAGCGACTGGCGAACTCAAACAACTCTGGCAAACTCTTAAAAACTCTAAATGCTAACTCCGGCTTAAATTTTGAAATGTTCGCAGGTGTTGGTTTTGAGTTGTGTTGCAGTTTTGCAGTTGTGGCTTAAGTTTTAGATGTTCGCAGGTTTTGGCTTAGAGATGTTTGAAGTGTTTAGAGATTGAGATTGTCGCAGGTTTTGGCTTAGGAGATATTTTAGCTTCTTCTAGAGTTTGAGATTCCCGCAGGTTTGGGCTTAGAGATGTTTGAGGTTTCTGGGGAGGCGAGTGTCCTGCTGAAGATGTTCCGAAGATTTCGGCTGGCTTTCTCGATGGACCTCCTGTAGTAGAATTGCCGAACCTGAGTCGAAGCCACGAAACATGCGTGGCACGTTCGTAGGTCGACGAGCTCTCTGCGCATGCCTCGACGAGAAAAGCAATCTGGGGGTAAATCAGCCCTGCAGACGATCCCCCACTCGAGCTCTTGGCCTCCGAACCTCGCTCGCCCGCCAGGCCGCGCCTCGCGACCACCGCGAGAGGCTGCGCCCTGCAGCCGCGCCCGCGGGCTCCGCCTGGCGAGCGCGGGGGGGGTGGGGAGTCTTCGCGCTCGGCGTGTCGACACTGGGCGGAAGGGGGGGCATCAGGGGGTGGAGGGGTCTGGCTCTGGACCTCTGCCGAATGCCACTGCTTGCAGCAGTGCGTCCTCCGGGGGGAGACTCGACCTGCTTTTGAAACCGCCAAGAGAAGCAGCCAAGATCTATTCCACGGGGGGAGGGGAGGAGGGGGGCGAGAGCCCGCGCCGATCGGCCGATCGCCGATCACATCCCTTAATAGTTGTCAGTGCGATGAAGGTCTGGCGGGATCGGGGGCCTTCGAGTCATAACTCGGGCCTCCGGCGCCCCCAAAACGCTCCTGGCGGGTCGCAGCTGCTGATGAGCACCCCGAGGCTGGAAAGCCCTCGGGAACACACGAACACGCCCGAAGTCCGACGTTTCCTGGCTGCCTCGGGGCCGCTGCCTCGCCGCCGCCCGCCCGCGGCCGCGGCCGCCCGCCGCCGGGCGCCGCCGGCCGTCCAGGGGGACGCGAGGGCGCGGCAGGCGCGCCGGCGCCCCGAGACCGCGCCCGAGGCAGTCCTCAGGCCCGCCTCCTCCTCCTCCTCCCTCTCCTCGCCATCCTCCTCCTCACGCCTCCTCCTCCTCCTCCTCCTCCTCCTCCTCCTCCTCCTCCTCCTCCTCCTCCTCCTCCTCCTCCTCCCTCCTCCTCGTCCTCCTCCTCGTCCTCCTCCACCTCCTCCTGTCCTCGTCCTCCTCCTCCTCCTCCTCCTCCTCCTCCTCCTCCTCCTCCTCCTCCTCCTCCTCGTCAGCCTCCTCCTCGTCAGCCTCCTCCAGCCTCCTCCTCCTCCTCCTCCTCCTCCTCCTCCTCCTCCTCCTCCTCCTCGCCCAATGCCCCGACGACGCCAACGACGACGACGACGTCGACGACGAATGCGCACTGCGTCTGCAACCAGCTGTAACCAACCGGCCGAGGTCTGGCGGCAAATACGCAATGAGCCCTTGATCTCGGCCGCTCGGACGGCGCTAGATCACGGAGGCAGCCCGCCCCCGCCCTGCGGAGGCGGAACCGCGAGGAGGGGGGGGGGGGGGCGAGCGGAGCGACAGAAGCTGAAGGAGGAGAGGCAAGAGGGCGCTCTGGACCTTCCGATCAACGCGCGCTGGAAACGAAGGGAGACCGGACGAGAAAGTGGAACGAAAAAAGCCGAGTGGACGCGGAGAAGGAGGACGAGCGGAAGACGAGAGGAGAAGGAAGGCGCGCGCCAGAAAGGGCCCGTTGTTCGCAGCCCGCGGGAGAAACCAAGAGGCAAACGCCAAGGCGTATTGGGGGCGACGCCGAACACAGGGCCCCGAGAGGGGCCTCGAAATCGAGCTGGGGGCGCCACGGCGAAGAGCATGGAAGCACAGGGGCCCCCAGCTATTCGCCGCCGGCCGCGCCTGGACGCCCCCTGGAGATTTCACTGACCAGCCCGGGAGGCCCGTCGCGGTGGGATTCTCCCTGATTGCGAAGATTTCATAGAAAAGCGCCCCCGTCGCTGCCTAGGACGCGCCCGCGGGCGCACCGACGCCGCTGCAGAAAATGAAAACCTTCGCTGCCATTGGGAAGCCAGCTGCAGCGCTCGTCGCCCCGCGCCCCTCGCCCCCCCCCCCCCCGCGCGCCCGCCACCCCCCCCGGGAAGCTCGCGGCAAGCGTCTCTCATTCAAAGGGCCCCGCGAGATCTGGCGAGCAAAGCCAGCGCCCCGAAGGGAGACCCCGGGGGGGCCGAGAGGCGGGCGGGAGGCGGGGGGCCCGGAGTCAAGCGCCCCCGGCACGGGAGACGATAATTTCTCGACGCGCCATATGTGCGCCAGTCATTCTCCCTCGCGGGCAACCTGCATACGATGAGATACTTCGATGAATCCAACATGTTGTATTTCTCGCCTGCAAGCATCGCCGCGCCGATGTCCCCCCAGCATCGCAAAGCGCGCATGACTTTGTTCTCCGGGCCTTCGGCCTGCAGTCACGCTACATGTCCGCTCGCAAATAAATCATAGATTATGTCCATCAGCGCAGGGTCGCCCCAAGCTCCCGCCACCCTTGTATCTCATCTTCGGCCTCTTCCAGGCCTGCCCGAATAAGATCCAAAGTATGTGTTCGATGCTCTGACAATCCGAAATGAGAAGACAAACGTTTGTATTCATGCGACGGAAATCCAATTGACCTCGGGAGGGTGCGTCAGTCAGGGCCATTAGTTCTTCGACCTGTCCGATAGCAACTGACATAGAATCGTCCTTCTTTTCGGCCGAACTCGTCCGCACCTCCTCCTCCTCCTCCTCCTCCTCCTCCTCCTCCTCCTCATTTCCCCCTTCTCCTCGGCGTTCAAAGAATGAGCAAAGAAACTGGTATTATCATGTTGTTCCCTTGGTGCTTCCTGCCCTGAGGAAGGAAGTGTGCGCTTGCTTGCACAAGTATTTGTTGACAACCAAGATACCGCCGAAGGTCAGTGCGAATACGGCAGAAAGGTGTTACGCGCGTGACCTCGTGCGTGCACTGCGCATGCTGTTAGACCTCCAAACATGGCCATGTATATACCCTCTTCGCCTTTTTACGCCAAACACATACAACAACATGCTTCCAAGATTGATGCTGGTCCTTTGGGAGTGGATCGCGCGCGCACGTCCGATCCTGGCTCTTCGTTCCGACGAGGAGGTCGCACTGCTAGGATGGCTAAAAGGCAGCACATCACTTTCGCGAGACAATCCTGGGGGCGGAAGGAGAAGCATGAATGTATGTGGCTGTGGAAGTCTGTCCTAGATCCCTCCTGACCTTCACAGAAAGCGAGAGGGGCACGTGGGCATGCGGCTGGTTCCCTTGGAGCGTTCGGGTAAGACGTTTCCTCAACTGCTTGCCCCGAGACGCCGACAGGACTCAAGAGGAGGAGCAGGAGGAGGACCCAGACCTCTGACGCCGAAAACATTTTCCACGGCGCGGACCCCTTGGACACCAAAAAATACACACAAACATCAGGATTTCCACTATTTTTTATATGTTCGGGTTTTTCGTTTTCCCCCTCACTCCCATATTTCCCCAGATTTCCCTGCAATCGACGATGAATTGTGTCTGCATTTTTTCCCTCCTGACCCCTGGAGGCCTCGACCCACTCCCCGGGACCGGCGGTCCATCCTGGGCCGGTTTCTGCCGACCCCGAGGCCTGGCGGAGGCCCCCCAGGGAATCTGAAAACGGCGGAAAAGGCTCCTGGAGGGAACGAAAGCGACGACAATGACCAAGACGGAGCGTGGAAAAGTCAGTGTCGACCTTGGTCATCGTTCATCTTGGTCAGCGTCAACTCGTGAATCATCCTCGCGTATCGGTGACGGCCAGCATGGACCATGACCAAGATCGGCGTCGACAAGATCCTGCGACATCTTGGTCATGGTCATCATGTGTCTTCCCTTGAGCTCCGTAATGTGTTCACAACCAGAGGTGGTCAAGCAGAGGTAGAGCGCGCTCGAGGCCCGACCAGGCGGCTGCAAGTCGTCGTTACCGTCCTCCTCCTCCTCCCCCCCCTCCTCCTCTTCCTCCTCCTCCTCCTCCTCCTCCTCCTCCTCCTCCTCACCGTCTTCTTCGTCGACGCCGCCCAGCGGGCGGCGCGGTGAGCGGCGCCTTCGGCGGCACCGGCGCGGGGCGCGGCCGAGAGGCCGGCGACGGAGCGGGCGAGCTGGCAGGCGAAGAGCGCAGGACCTGGCCGCGGGCAGAGCTCTGTGGGCACAGGCAAGCATGGGGCGCGCAGGGACCCCTCGAGCTGTCAAATCTTGACGGGCAATGTTCTGCCATGTTCGGCCTCCAAAGCTTAGTGGGCCCCGGACGCACAAGTGGTTAGGGGGAGGGGGAAGGATTCTTAGAAGGAGGCCGCTTCTTAGAAGGCGCGGGCCTTACATCTACGGACAAAGCCAGCGCCTTAGTGGAAGCAGGGGTGCATCTAAGAAGCATTCCTCCCTTCCCCTACCCCCTTCTGCGCGTGGCCAAGTCAACGCGTGTGCCAGCACTGGATCCCTTCAATGCGACGCAGACGGTGTAGCGAGAACCACGACAAGCCGCATGCTATCGGTGGAGGTGTGCGGGGTAAGACACACACACACTCTTGTTTGATCTGCGGGGCGAGAGCGAACCTCTTCCGATAGATGCTAAGCGGGCCGCGCACAGCATTAATTAGAGAGAGAGGGCAAAAGAAGGCGGGCCTCACGTCAAGGCCGAGAGAGGGCGAAGCCCTGGGATCAGGCGGTGCCGAAGTTGAAGTGCGGGAAGAGGTACACCTTGGACAGGAGCCCGGTGGTGAAGTCCCGGGAGGCGAAAGTCGGTGGTAGGGCACACACACACACACTCACGCACACATTGCGCTAACACGCGTCCTGAGGATCATCGAGCAGCGCTGGACCGCCACGCTGGCCCCCGGCCTGGCGCGTCGGAGTGCCCGTCGTCGCCGTGTCTGGCGTCGCGGTCCGCCCTCAAGCCTCGTCCAGCGCTTCGTCCTGCCCCTCCTGCGGCTCGTCCCGCCCCCCCAATACCCTGTCATTCTTCCTCATCGCACTCCTCCTACTCCTCGTTCTGCGTCGTCCATCCTCCTCCTCCTTGTCCATCCTTCTCCTCACAAGCTCCCCCAAGTTCTCTGGAGGTCTTCAAAGGGCGTCTCCGGAGGCCGTTGGAGGTCTCCGGATGCTGTCTTGACTATTACGTGTTGTACGTGTTGCTGGGTGGCGCAGCAAGCACGTGAACAGTCCATGCGTCAGACATACACACAGATCCATGCGCCGAACGCGCAGTAACAATACCATTGCGCACACTGACGCAGCCCAACAGGCTACACGTGCACAAACCAATCGGCACGCCCAAACGCGTGCCAGCTGGACGAGCCGAGGCATGACAGCCGAGTGCAGAGCCCTCCGCGCGAGGGCGCCGCAGAGATCGGGCCGCTGCGCCCCCGCGCAGCAGGGCCGTGCCCAGAGCTGCAGGTGCCGACCGGCCCGGCGCGGAGGCCGCGCCGCTGCCTGCCCAGTGCAGTCGCCCGAGCGCGGTGGTCCAGCAGATGTGTGGTATGACGAACCAACAACACACACCCATACCCATAGGGGGATTGGAGAGGGCTATGGGTGCTTGTTGTCGGATGGGGGTCCCCGCTCGAACGGGAGCGTTCCCCAGGGTCCGACAACCCGCACCCATACCCATAGCCAGTCCTCCTCCCAACGACCTCCCTATGGGTATGGGTGTGTGTTGTTCGTTCGTCATGGTAGGCCCTCAATCGGCGGTGGGCAAAATCCTCCCTGGAGGAAACCTCCCCGTAGTGAAAACGCCCTGGGACCGAAACCGACGGACCTGGACCCCAAAGATGACGGCCGCGACGCCCCCTCGCGAACCCAAAACGGCCAATTCCTTACTCGACGCGTCAGGGTAGGAGGTCTGTCCACCTCCGAACCAACTGCTCTGGGTCAACTAGGTTCAGCTGACTGTCACCTCCTGAGTGCCACTGCCTATCTTTGCAACCCTGCAACTGGTACTTCAGATACTCGTGATATCGTCTGAGCTTTACTCGTAAATGCTCTGTACGGTTCTAGCGCCACTGCAACTTCATGGTACGGCAACGCTGGAGATGGAGGCGTCCTGGACGTAAAAGCCAGATCTTGTAAAGTAGCCTCGAGCTGAAGAGAGTGTTGCAGTCGTATCCTGGCCTGGGGTGTACGAGTTGTTGGCCCCAACTGGCACAGAGCTGTATGCGACGCTGCTAGAGCTCCTTGACGACGAAGCGCAGGTCTAAAGACTCAATAATGCTGTTCTGAACCACTTGGAGGGTGATGTTCTCTATTGAATATACAGCGTCTTTCAACGTCATAGGCTCAGTTGCCACAGCTGACGTCCTCACTGATTTAATAAAATTGGCGTCTGAGGACGTTGCTGGCGTGACGTTCCCGAAGCCAACGTAGCTGTAAAGCTGATTGCCATTGGCGTCATGAGTGGTCACCTGCATCATTCCTGGAATACTGTCACCATTCGGACCAGTTTCAAAGAGATCAAGCTCAATATGCTTGTTGACATCCTTGTCCGCATTGTACGCGTCGCCATAAGTCCAAGTGCTGCTTGACACCTGCTGAATTCCACAGAAGTGCATATTGTAGTTGACAGGACCATCTTTGACAGTAGCCTTTGAGAAGTCCAGTGGCAGACACTTCGAAGCTCGACCCAGTGGTGCTAATCGAAAGGAGAGGATTGCAGTCGACCCTCCAGTCGCTCGGGGCGCACCAACTTTGTCCCACAGTGTCAGAGTACTGCCGCTGACGGCAGTGGCCAACGAATTTGGAGTGCAGGACCATGCATCGTTCACAAAGGTCACGTCCGAGAGGCTCACAACTGATGCGCTTGCTGATGCGCTGGCTGAGGACGAGGTACAGCAGCCCATGATTGCCTTGTCCTGGGTGCTTCTCGATCGGCCTACTTGGTTCAGGTCCTGAAAACGAGCTCACATTGCTTGTGCTGTGAAGGAAAAAGGAACACACGCACGCACGCACGCACGCACACACACACACACACACACACACACACACGAGTGGTGCGTCGATGTTCCCGGGCCCGAGACCAGCCCCCAGAGGCCAAACACCGACAACAAGCGCCTTGGTGCTGTTTCGAGACGCCGATGTCTGGAAACAGGTACGCGACACGGACCTATGACCGGGCACCCGTTGGCGAGTTGCTTCCTGTGCTTTGAAGGATGGCCATGGTGTGTAACATCGCTGGCTCCGAGTGGTGATTCAAACACCGCCAGCCTCCCCAGAGGCCCTGGGTGCCTGCATCTGTATACGTGAGATGCACTGCACATGAGGAGACAACTGTTTGGGTAAGAATTCGGTGTGAGGATCAAATGTACAAGTACATCAACTTGGTGGATGAAAAAATACACAGGTGGCAAGGAGTACGACTGTCCCCCGTGCGACGTCGCGCCCACTGCGGGCAAAACTGACTGCACGGCGCATCGGTTCGGCTGGACGCTGCCACTGCTGCGGCGCGCCCCCCGAACGGAAGGCACACGGGGGCAGCCCTCCCACGGCAGGTGCGGATCTGAGCGCCCGCCACGATCGGCCGAACAAGAACCCCTAAACCTTTGGGAGGGGACCTCAGTTGGGAGGGCCGAACACATTAGTGATAGGGGGCCGTTTACGCCGATGTATCAAACCAAATCGCCCATATATGGTATCCCTTATTGCGAAGACGGGGACCACAGTGAGGCCGCGTCATCGTGTTATTAGCGTTAGAGGGTATGTTGTTTTCGATGACGCCAGGTCGGTCTCCTGATGTCGCCAGAACTTCCTGCCCCAACAGACGCGAGCGGTACGGCGCAGAGCACCGCATACGGCGACATAACGCACGGCAAGGCACGGGGCAGCCGACACGGCAACACGACGCACGGCATGGCACACGGCACAGTCACGGCACAATATCCGACGTGGCACGATAAGGAATCAGAACACGGCACGGCACGCAACACGGCATACCACAAGGCACATCCACGACATCTTGGTCATGGTCTCCATGCTTCGTCCCTCGACCCAGGGCCCCCGCCCCACCCCCCGTGGGGGGGAGGGCCTCGGTGAGGAGCGCCCGCTCCCGCTGCAGGCTGCCGAGCGACGGCAGCATGGGGGAGGGCCACAGGGGCCACGGCCTGCGGAGGGACGGCTGCCATCGTGCAGAGCCAGAGCCAAGTTATGCATCCTCTTCCTCCTCCTCCTCCTCATCCTCCTCCACCTCCTCCACCTCCTCCTCCTCCACCGCCAACCCTCTCCTCCTCCCCCCATCCCTCTTCCCCTCCTCCTCCTCCTCTCCTCCTCTCCTCTTCCTCCTCCTCCTCCTCCTCCTCCTCCTCCTCTTCCTCCTCCTCCTCCTCCTCCTCCTCCTCCTCCTCCTCTTCCTCCTCCTCTTCCTCCTCCTCCTCCTCCGCCTCCTTCTCCTCCTCCTAGCCCCCTGTGCTCAGGAGTTCACCCTTTTTGGGCAGGAGCACCTCGATACCGCGGCAGACTACACACGCTGCGGCAGCCCCCCCCCCCCCCCCCCCCGCAGGCTCCCCCGCGCGCGCACTGCACACTTCCCGTGCCATGCACGTTCCGCCTTCTCTGTGTGCTGCTGCGGGGGGGGGGGCATGTTCACGTTCATTCATTGGAACGCACAGCATGCTGATCTGGATCGGCTGCATGACCTCTCGGAGGAATTCAGATTCACTGACATTGTGGCGGTCACAAGTACTGGAGAGCGAGCGACAGAAGATCGTTCGCCCGTATTCTCGAACTTGAGGCTTCATTTCGTCACCCGTTGCGGGTACCAGCCTGGGCGACATGTGAACAAAGCGTGTGGGATCGCTCTGCTGCTGAGAAAGAGGACGTTCAAGAGGCGAGACGTGTATGACGTGCCAGCTGTTCCTGCGGCCCTTCAAGGTCGTGCTGCAGTATTTCGTCTGCGATCGGGTCGGTTCGATGTGCTGGTTCCTGTGATGTACTTCCCCCTTCGGCTGAGCTCGCGTCGGGAGGGGAAGGAGTCGTGTGTGCAGGCCGCTACCACGCACGCACGCTACAGAGCGACGGTGGACCTACTCATTCAGTGGCTTGAGAAGGTTCTGACGTGGTCTCAGAAGCGCTCGGCATTGTTCCTGGGGGTCGACCTGAACGACTCGTTCGGGTGGCGTGTTCGTCCTGGGCACATCATCGACTGGGTCAACTCTCGGGCGTTGGGGCCCTTTGCTCGACATGAGCAACGGTATGCGGCAGACCAGATGCTGGAAGCATGCGAGAAGCATGCGGTGACTATCGCACTCCACGTGCTACAACGTTGGCGACACGTATTTTGGGTCCCAGTCATCGAGCTGCATCGACTTCGTGGCTGTCTTCGCCTGGCAGATGAAGGATATTGTCTTCTGCGGTGCGCTGCGACGGGCCAACCTTCGTCTCAAGCTCGGGGGTCGAAGGGGCCTTTGTGATCATGTCCCGCTGATCGTAAAGACGAAATATGACTTTGATTTCAGCCAAAGCACCCCCCCCCCCCCCAGTACTCGATGAGACTTCGACCGGTTGGCGAGTGCGCTGAAGAGGGGGGCTGGAGTGCAAGAGTTCACGTCAGATCTCGAGGACAAGTTCAGCCAGGCTCCTGAATTTCACGATCTTCTTCTCCACGAGTCAGCCCCTGATCGTGCATGGGAGAAGTGGGTTTCGATGGTATACTCTACGGACGAGACGCACTTTGCTAAGGGCAGTGCTGTGGATCCATTGGCGGTGCAGTTTCAGCAGGAACGTAGTCGGCTGCTGCGAGAGCGGCGTGATGCGCGTGAGCGTGGCACTGGCGACCTGGAGCCCAGTCTGCAGCTTGCCAGATGCAGTCGACGGCTACGGCATCTGCGTCGGAGTTGACAGGAAGAGGCTCTCGGCCAAGTCGTGGAAGAGCTCCAACAGGCGTGGGCTTGTAGGAGGCATGCGGAAGCGTGGCGCCTGGTGCATGATATTGCGGGCCGTTGTTGTGGCCCGAAGCGTCGTCGGCACAATGGAGCTGAGACCTACGCCCCCAGGGTGGAGGAGATCAGGCAGTACTTCAGTGGTGCGGGCCCCTCTGGGGGCTTTGCTGCAGTCCCAGTGGACTTCGCTGACTACCAAGCTCGTCTCCTGGAAGACCTTCCGCGGCCCCCGACCTTCGGGAGCGACAACTTCCTTCACGTGGAGCTCGGTCGTGATGACTTGGAGGCAGTAAAGGAGCTTGCAGCCAAGGCTCCTCGACGGAAGGCAGCGCCTGCCCACTCTATCCCGACGGAGATCATCATGCTGGTGCTGGACACGCTTCGCAGGTTCGACGGCACGCACCGTCGTCCACGTCGAGAGGCTCGAGGTGACGAGGATGGGGAGGGAACTGGTGAAGGTGATCATCGTCCCCGAGGTCGCGCGGAGTACGTTGCTCGTTATAGGCTTGCGGGAGACCGACGTGGGCTGGGGGCTGAGACGGCGTCGATTTCGAACGATCGTAGTCTGAAGGCGCTGCAGAAGATATTTCACCATATTCGTAGAGTGCATCGTGCCCCAGTTAAATGGCATCATTCCCGAGCGACGGGGTTGGATAAGCATAACAACAAGGATGGCTTCGCGGCGCGGCAATACATCCATGGAGTATATCGCATGGGCGTGCTGTGGTTCAAAGGGCAACTACAGCGAGGTCGAGCTGATGAGATCCCCGATCGTGAGCACGGCTATCATGCCGGCCGTAATCGGGAAGGGGCGCTCATATGCCAAGAAGTGCTCCTCGGGCGGCTTCGTGGGTTGGGGGTGTCGACGGTGACGGCGAAGGAGGACATGGCCAACGCCTTCGGATGCTCGGCGTGCGAGCCATTGCGGGAGACGGTGGGGGCCTCGATCCAGCCAGACACGCAGTGTTATTTCCATCAGCGACATGAGAATAGCACCTTCACGATCAGGGGGGTCGACGGGGAGCAGACGATGCATAACTTGCGTGGCGCTTTCATGGGCGACAGCCCTGCGGCGGTGTTCTTCGCGCGGACGTTCCGACGGCCTGTTCAACAGTGGATGGACTTGCTCCGCGACCAAACGTGGCACGGACGACCCCCCCCCCTCGGCCAATTGCCTACACGGAGTGGCTGGAGCAGGAGTCGGTACCCCCGTCGCCGCCTGCTGACCCTGTTCGTATTCTGTGGCCCAGTGAGGCCCTGTGCACGGCGTGGGTCCCGATCCTCCAGCGCCCTGTGGACCTGTCGTGTCGGACCTATGCTGATGACACGAACAAGACGCACGTGGTGGCGTCGGCCAAGAACGCACAGTACACCCTGGAGCAGGCGCACGCTCACCTTCGGAATCCACTCGATAAGGATGGATAGTCTCACAATGCTGGGAAAAGCTGCGTGTCACCATCATTCGTCGAGGCGGGGGCTAAGGAGTACAACGCCGCCGTGTTCGGGGGACACACTCGTCTCCCTGGTACCGTACAGCTTGACAACATTGCGTTGGGTATCCAGACTGCGGTGAATGGGGGCGTCCAGGGGGAACTCCAGAGGCGGACTCAGGCGCGTCGGCGTGGGTACTACTCCATGCGGAAGTTCTGGGCCAGGAACCGCGTCTGGAAGTTCACTCGCATAGTGTTCGGAGCCGTGGTCCAGGGCGCGCTGCTTTCGGGGCTCACGACGTTAGTGCTCTCAGAGGCTCAGGAGCTCAAGCTGGATGGGGTCCTCATCGGGCTCGCCAGAAAGATTCTGGGAGGGGACGCGTGCCAGAAGGTGGAGGTGAAGGATGAGGAGGGGAACACAGTGCGCGATGAAAGGGGGCAGGTTGTCGTTCGCTATCGTGCGCAGTCGGATGCCATGGTCTTTCGTCGAGACGGAGTCGCCCCTGCTGGTGTCGAGCTGCGTGTGCGTCGATTGCGGCAGCATCAGCGCTGGATTCGTCATCCTGGGCGCCACCCACAGGAGCTCGGATCGATTTTCGGACAACTGCCGCTCGATGATCAGCCCACCCTGTCTGAGAAGGGCCTGTTGCATGAGAGAGCAAACACATATGCAAAGCGCTTCGCGCATGAGAGAGCAAACACACCCTGGTGCAGAAGGCGGGGGTTGAGCTCCTGGAGAACTGGCTGTTCACGGGGCCCTCGGAGGAGCTCCACATGAGGCTGTGCGTGCGGGCCCTGGTTTATGGATCCTGATTTGAGGGCGCAGTTCCTGGCGTTAGACCCTGGACGTCTTCGAGCGTCGACGTTGACGGTGACGATACCTCCTCCTGTGGGTCTCTACGGTCCTCCCGAAGTGTCTGAGGATCCTGAAGGTGCCCTTGAGGCCCCGCAACAGGCTACAACTTGGAGGTGCGATCTGCCGAACTCTGAGGGGGCGGTCTGCGGGAGGATCTTCACGACCAAACGTGCGCGTCTTGCCCATCAAAGGTTCTCGAAAGCTGGGGGGCATTCTTGCCGGTCAAAGATGCACTCCCTTATCGTGACCAACGAGTGCATCGTTTGTGGCCAGAGATTTCGCACTAGGAGGATTGCCCAAGAACATGCGGCCCAAGCGGTGCTGCGTGGACGTTGCCCCCCGAATGTCACGCCCTTTTATGACCCCCGTCCTGGAGCCCGAGAGCTTGCATTGTCCCTTGGCTGATATGACGAGGGAGATGTTTTTTTTGGAAGTCGGACTGTTAGGGCCCGTGAGATGTGCTGCAACCGTACGGAGCCTTTTGAGGATCGAGCTGCCCTGTACCAGCACCTACGCCACCACGCGCCTCGTGCTCCGCTCACTTGTCGCGGGCCTGATGTACCGCTTGGGAGCCGAGGCACTCGAGGCGGCGGCCCACAGGTCGAGATCGCATGGCGGCGGCAAGCCAGGCCCGCGCAAGGGCCGCTCTGGTTCGGCGCACGTTTCCCGAGGGCGCGGCGCCAGGCGCAGCCAGCCACCCGCAGGAGGCGCTCGGCAGGCCCCGCAGCAGCAGCGGGAGTCGCGCGGCGGCCCAAGGCGCGAGGCTGCCCCAGCTCTGCTCGCAGGGGGACGGGCTGCGACCGACGACGCTCGGAGGGAGATTGGCAGGAACTACGGCCTCCCAGCGGACGCTCTGGACAAGTTGCCGCCGATGGACCTCCAGATGTGCGCCAAGCTGTTCCCCGTCCTCGTGAGG